AATGGTGAAGGGTTCGAGTTCGGGTTCGGGCTCGGGTTTGGCTTTCAGCACATTACAGTAGGAATGCATCAAGAATGCGCTACAATAGGAGGGGACACGTGACACAAAAAAGCACAGTAGGGAGGAATGCGCGACAACAGGCATACACAAGGAAACTACTCTGCTGACGTACCTAAACCTGATACTACTGTTTTGGCGAGTGTACATCGGATCGCTCAATACAAAAGCAATCGTTGAATGATCAACAAGGTCCTTGAACGCTTCGTTAAAGAACGTCGTGCCAGAGTCAGATGTTTCACATATGCGGCTTCACTCTTAGAAGTCAGGCCGATGGCAGGAGAGCGACTACGAGGGGGGCGTGGTTACGCTAGCGAGGAACCCACATATTTGTATTATGGCTGGAGTGATGATAGCTGAAGTGAAGCATGTGATAATGATGTTGGTGGCCGTTCCCTGCGCACCCCCTAGGGCGTCGAGACTATGCCACGCCTGCTATGCCCTGGACCACCGGCTCGGATAGCGGCCGCGCTCAGAGATCACCCCCTGCGCACCCCCTGGGTGTCGAGAAAGTGCTACGCCTCCTACGCCCTGGAAGACTTGCTCGGATAGCGGCCGCGCTCAGAGACTACCCCCTGCGCAGCCCCTATGGTGTCGAGAATATGCCACGCCTGCAATGCCCTGGACCACCGGCTCGGATAGCGGCCGCGCTCAGAGACCCCCCCCTGCGCACCCCATATGGTGTCTTGAAAGTGCCACGCCTGCTACGCCCTGGACGACTGGCTCGGATAGCGGCCGCGCTCAGAGACCACGCCTTGCGCACCCCCTATGGCGTCGAGAATATGCCACGCCTGCCATGCCACGTCATGCCACGAATTGTCGAGCTGGCGGCGGTACGCACTAAATGCGGACAGCACCACTCCGTGGGCACATTTGCGCGAGTTCTCCAAACTGACCTCGCCACCCATCTGAGTCATTGCGATCGTCATCGCTAAACACGGAGGTGGCAAGGCCGTCATGGCAATTTTGGGCGGCAGTCTGCCACGCGCAGGTACCGCGGTTGCTGCCCTCAAACGGAATTGCAGGCGAGAGTGCGTGGAAACGCGTGCACGCCGAAACGGCTTGAACCAAGGTGTTTATAGTTCTGGATAACATGCAGGCTCACCTGCCGCGTCTTGCAAACACGAAATGGATAGCGCTCCCACCCCAGCGCAGCCCCTGTGGTGTCGAGGGAATGCCGTGCTTGCCATTCTTTGCGAGCCCAGAACGAATGGCGCTCCCACCCCCAGCTCGCCCCCCAAGGTGTCGAGGAAATGCCACGCCTGCCACGCCGTGCAAGCACGAAACGGATGGCGCTCCCACCCCCAGCGCATATCTTGTGGTGTCGAGGAAGTGCCACGCCTGCCACGCTGTGCAAGCCCGAAACGGACGGCGCTTCCATCCCCAGCGCGCCCCCTGTGGTGTCGAGGCAGTGCCACGCCTGCCACGCTGTGCGAGTCCGAAATGGGTAGCGCTCCCCCCCCCAGCTCACCCCCTGTGGTGTCGAGGATGTGCCACGCTTGCCACGACTTGCGAACCCGACACGGACACCGCTCCCACCCGCAGCGCAGCCCCTGTGGTGTCAAGATGCCATGCCTGCCACGGTTTGCGCACGTCCTGTGGTGTCGAGGGCGTGCCACACGTGCCATGCTTTGCGAGCACGACACGGATAGCACTCCCACCCCCAGCGCATCCCCTGTGGTGTCGAGGAAGTGCCACGCCTGCCACGCTGTGCGAGCCCGAAACGGATAGCGCTCCCACCCCCAGCGCGCCCCCTGTGGTGTCGAGGCAGTGCCACGCCTGCCACGCCTTGCGAGCCAGAAGAGGGTAGCGCTCCCACCCCCAGCTCACCTCCTGTGTTGTCGAGGATGTGCCACGCTCGCCACGCTTTGCGAGCCAAAAGCGGATAGCGCTCCCACCCCCAGCGCATCCTGTGTGGTGTCGAGGAAGTGCCACGCGTGCCACGCTGTGCGGGCCCGAAACGGATAACGCTCCCATCCCCAGCGCGCCCCCTGTGGTGCCGAGGAAGTGTCACGCCTTCTGCGCGTTGCGAGCCCGAAACGGATAGCGCCCCCACCCCCAGCTCACCCCCTTGTGGTGTCGAGGGTGTGCCACGCTTGCCACGCTTTGCGCATACCGTGGTGTCGAGGATGTGCCACACCTGCCACGCTTTGCGATCCCGAAACGGATAGCGCTCCCACCCGCAGCGCACCCCCTGTGGTGTCGATGAAATGCCACGCTTGCCACGCTGTGCGAGCCCGAAGCGGATAGCGCTCCCACCCCCAGCGCGCCGCCTTTTGTGGCGTCGAGGAAGTGCCACACCTGCCACGCTTTGCGAGCTTGAAACGGATAGCACTCCCACCCCCAGTTCACCCCTTGTGGTGTCGAGGATGTGCCGCGCCTGCCACGCCTCGCGAGCCCGAAACGGATAGCGTTCCCACACGTCTTGGGTGTATGGTGCAGTGAAAACGCCCGGTGTACACTAGCGTTGTACGGTGCATGTTGTGTGTATGTATGCGAGTGTCTGCATGCGTGCGGCTGCTTGTAGACGCGTGTCTGATGCAGGTGCCGTGCATAGGTTGCGTGTGGGTGAAGGGAGGAAGGAAGTGGAGGAGGCGGGGAAAGAAGAGAAAGGGGAGGTGAGCGAGGAGGAGACGTGGGTGTGCCGCGGCAGGAATGAAAACCATAACCCCACGAAGCATGTGGGGAAACATTGGTGGAGGAGGGACGATTGGAGACATAATTCTTGGGAGTAGCAGCGCCCTGCGCTGTGTTCGCATTGCAGGACAGCGCTTTGCGCGCTATGACCGTACAGCGCCTTGCGCTAAACGTAGCATGTGCCCGCATGCTTTGCAGACAACAGGCAGCTGAGGAAGGGATGCGGCATGGGCAACGGACAACGCCATGCGCTATTCGCTGCGCGGCGCTCGCACACGCCGCGTCACTCCGTTGGCCCTCCCAGAGGCCCATCGCAGCCCCCCCCCCAGGGGACGGCGAGGTTTCGTGGTGTTCTGCGCACGACGCACCTCGGCTGGGCTTTGTTGACACCCACGAAAGTGGCGACAGCTTCGCAGATCGCAGTCCCCACCCACGGGACGACGAGGTCTCGTAATGATCCGCGTAGGACGTACCTCCGCTGGGCTTCCCAGCAGCCAACGAGAGTGGCGACATATTCGCAGATCGCAGCCCCCTTGTGGACGGCGAGGTCTCGCGGTGATCCGCGTAGGACGTGCTTCCGCTGGGCCTCCCAGGAGCACACGAACGTATCGACAGTTTCGCAGACCGCAGCCCCCCAGGGGACGGCGAGGTTTCACGGTGATCCGCGTAGGACGTTCTTCCGCCGGGCTTTCCAGAAGTCCACGAAAGTGGCGACACATTTGCAGATCGCAGCCGCCCCAGGGAAGGGCGAGGTCTCGTGGTGGTCCGCGTAGGACGTTCTTCCGCTGGGCCTCCCAAGTGCGCACGAACGTGGCGACAGTTTTGCAGATCGCAACGCCCCAGGGGACGGCGAGGTCTCGTGGTGATCCGCGCAGGACGCACGTCCGCTGGGCCTCCCAGAAACCTACGAAAGCTGGGACAGTTTCGCAGATCGTGGCCCCCCAGGGGACGGCGAGGTCTCGCGGTGACCCGCGTAGGACGCACCTCCGCTGGGCCTCCGAGAAGCCCACGAAAATGGCGACAGTTTCGCAGATCACGCCCCCCCCTCCCCCCCCCACCCACGGGACGACGAGGTCTCGTGATGATCCGCGTAGGACGTACATCCGCTGACCCCCCCAGAAGCTTACGAAATTGGCGACGTATTCACCTACTGCAGCCCCCCACGGGACGGCGAGGTCTCGTGGTGACCCGCGTAGGACACACCTCCGTTGAGCCTCCCAGAAGCCCACGAACGTGGCGACATATTCGCATATCGCAGACCCCCAGGGGACGGCGAGGTTTCGAGGTGATCCGCGTAGGACGTGCTTCCGCTGGCCCCCCCCAAAGCCCACGAACTTAGCGACAGTTTCGCATATCGCAGCCCCCCAGGGGACGGCGAGGTCTCGTGGTGATCCGCGTCGGACGTACCCCCGGTGGGCCTGCCAGAAACCCACGAAAGTTGGGGCAGTTTCGCAGACCGTGCCCTCCCCCCACGGGACGGCGAGGTTTCGTGGTGATCCGCGTAGGGCGCGCCTCCGCCGGGCCTCCGAGAAGCCCACGAAAGTGGCGACATATTCGCAGATCGCAGACCCCCAGGGGCCGGCGAGGTCTCGCGGTGATCCGCGTAGGACGTACCTCCGCTAGGTCTCCCAAAAGCCAGCGAAATCGGCGACCGTTTCGCATGTCGCAGCGCCCCAGGGCACGGCGAGGCCACGAGGCAGGGAGGAGGAGGAGGCGGAGGAGGAAGATAACGAGGAGGAACAGGTTCAACTCCAGCAGCCCCCGCCGAACCCGAAGGAACGGACGGGGGCCGAATTTTGGGGGCACCTCAGGGGCTCCTGGGGACCCAGCGGGGGGGATCAGCACAAGGGCCGGTCCGCTCATGACGAGGCCCAGGCCGCCCAGAGGCCCAAACCAGCGTCTGGGGGGGCGGAGGGCGTCAGCCTGGAGCGGCACGCGCCGCCAGAGCGGGGTGGGGCCCCAGGGCTGCGCCGAGCGGGGGCCAGCGTCGGCCGCGCCCCGCAGCCGCGCACAGCGGGACCGCGGCGCGTGGCCCCCGCCCCCCCCCCCCTCGCGCTGAGCCCCGCAGCCGCCGCAGGTGTGAAGGAGCCCCAGGACACACGAGTAAGTACACACCAATAAACAATGAGTCCCCCTCTCTGTTCGATGTCTTCTGGGCTTCTGTCTTCCCCCCCCCACTTCCCATAGTTTCCCATGTTTTTTCGGGGGAATCGGGGATTCATTGTGTCTGCGTGTTGCTTTTCCTCCTGGAGGTGGAGGGCCAGCGGGGCCGCGCGTGCGCCGGGTCGGCGGCGTGCCGCGCAGAGGCACTCGCCGGGGGCCGAGTGCCTCGCAGCGCGGCAGCGGCACGGCGGAGCCTGGAGACTCCAGGAAGGGGGCTTCGGGGTCACAGCTCATGGCTGGATTGGGGCTCCGCTCTTTCCTCCTCCCTCCTCCTCCTCCCTCCTCCTTCTCCTCCTCCTCCTCCTCCTCTCCCTCCTCCCTCCTTCTCGGGCTCCTCAGGGCGTGACGGCTGCCACGGCCCAGCCTCTCGACCCCTCTCGCCAGCCTCTTGGCACAGAAGCGAACATTGGCCAAGCTCTTGGGATTCTTCGGCGGTCCTAGGCAAGGGTTCTGGAGCTTCTTACTTTACTTACCAATCTGCAGACTATTGCAATCGCGCAGTTCACAAATGCCAGCGGGACCCCATCGGGCCACGCGATGGCCCTCGCCGACAGCCGGGCCCCCCGGACACTTGGGAGGCAAATAGTGTTAACAAAAACTCCCAGCCGTCTGTGCTTCACGCAAACGGCGCACGCATCTAATCAGCGAATCGTGGACTTGCTCAAAGTTGTGCTCAGTAGTCGACAGCTTGGGGATGCACGAGGCACGTCTCTTCGGGGGGGCCTGAGGGGCAACCTGCTGCGACTCACGGTCCATCCGAACTGCTCTGGACACCAGGATAGCCAACTGCTTCGTGCTGTGGCAAGATCGCCGAAGCAGTTCCTTGTGATTCTCCATCAACACATTGGCAACCTGGATGTCCGCGGCCCCAGCAGATGCAAACACATCCGCCCATGCATTTTCAACCGCATGCGCCAAACAGCCTCGGCCTTCTACGAAATCGTACAGGTCCTTGTGGCTAGGTATCCATGCAAATCTGCACCTCTCAACATCGTCTCTGCACAGCTCGAAGATGGATCTCCATATACTTGCATGCGTGGATGATGCTCTCGTTAACGACACGTCTCGCTCATTCGCCTCCTTCGCGATACTGAGGTGATCCGAAGCAGCCAGGCCTGGCCTCCTCATCGATCTCAGCGCCATCAATCCAGCAACTCTTTCGCCCCTTGGAACAGACTGTTCATGACGAGGGAGACCTCCGTATTTTGCTCTGACAGACCATCCAGTGAGAAGGGTCCAACTGCACCACTGCCCAGCCGACCCTGCACAACGCAGGACGAGCGTTGTGCAAGCCCGACGCGTCGCAGTACGCCACAGTGTTCCATTCACCCGAGCAGTCCCTCTCTTCGTGCACAGCAGGCGAGTCCGACGGCGGCCCAGGCTGCAGTGGCTTCCGTGGGGTACCGTAGGTGAAGTCAAAGGCTTCGCAGTTACCGCCGTTCTCGGCCACTAGCTTCTCACGTCCCGCACGAAACGTGAGTACTTCCTCGGGGAGCTCTTCTGGTCGTAGCCCCGTCTTCTCCAACAACTTCGGGCATGCATTTCATTGATGCGCCAACGTGCCCCTCGGTGTCTCACAGCGAATACATTGCCTGGGTGTCGTCAGGCCGAGCTCGGACGCCCTGTCTGGGCAAAGCAAACCTCCCGACCACATCCGACGGATAGATCCTCTGAGCGGCCCAGGCGCCAGCCTTACAATCGCTGCGCGCATCGCCCTTCTCCAAATCTGCTCATCACCTATCCTCTCGTGCAGATGCTGCAACGCCCTTTCCATGTGCCAGCTGTAGATGGATGGAAAGTGCCTCTTCTCGATATCTTTGGGCGCGACCTGCAGCAGCGAATGGTCACGTCCACGATCATCTCTGAACGCGAACGGGTTAGGCATTGCACAACCCAATCTCCAAAGCGTCAGCCACACAGCAGCCACTGGGCCTCTAGCATTCTGCCATGCCGGCCTCGTGTTAGAACAATTCTCCGCCACTGCCTGCCATGCGCAATCCATATCTGAAGCTGGAACTAACTTGTCCCAGACAAAGCTGGCATAGCGTTTGAGCAACAACGTGCTACAATCAGAAAGGGGGTCGAATTGGTTATCATTCTGCGTAGCAAGGTAGAGCGTGAGCGAAGCATTGCGGGCTGCACCAATCATGCCACCCGCGAAGGTACGCAATTGTTTGAGCACAGTGTCCGTGGTGCCGCTCACTCCCGTTCCGTTCCCTGACGCTGGCAAAAGCCAAGTGCGCCACAACGCCCCAATTTTCCCATGAACGTGTTCCCATCAGCATCCGAACCTTCCGCTTCCGCCCAGCAGGGCCTTCATCCTCTCGTTCTCCTGGAGCCTCAGAACCTAGGTGCCGTGAAGCTTGTGCCCAATATTCCGAATGTGACGTTTGGCCTTCAGACGCATGGATGTGACCCCCGAGTGGAGCCCTTTGGCCGCTCGGACCGGGGTGGCGACATATCCAGATTTACTCTGCTGGAGTGTCATACCCAGGCCTCGTAAGTCCCCAGCGAAGTTCCTCACACACGTGTGCAATGCGCTGCAGCCTCTCATGTCGTTTCCTTTCCATTGTAGCGTAATAGCATCCATCAAGACTCGGGGCCTTACATCCACTTACCGTGCACACATGTTATCCATCACCCTGTGCATGACCACCTCAAGTACAGTAACAGCGTGCGTGTAACCAGCCACGATACCCTGGTACGAAGTGAACCTGACGCTCATGATAGAATATGCTCGCACCGTGCGTGGAATCATGCATGTCTGCAGGATCATCCACATGAGCCTCACAGGGTAGCCGAGCACGCGCGCCTCACACATAGTGATACTCCACGGTATCGTCTCGTAGCACATGTGCATGCCCACAAACGCGGTGATGGCGTGCTGCTTGCGCGCATGCGCTGCTTCAGCCTCAGGATTAGGCTGGAACGCGCAATCACTAGACGTTCTGCCCGAATTTCCTCCCCGAAACGCAGGATGAGGGTGAGCATCCTCCCACTGCACGCTGAGGGGCCGTCTCGCTCGGCCCCAGATCCTCAACACCGTGTGGAGGAGAGCAATAAGACGTGTGCCGCCGCTCGCTTTGGGCAACATGCACATCTCCGTGAAAAGCTGTGACTGCGGCCACATAAGCCATCTCTCGCACTTGCTGCGCAGCTCCGCCGGCACCTCCAGTCCAGCATCGGACTTTCACCAGAAGTGTCCCGGCAGCGCACGCACCCGCCCACGTCCTGGGCACCTTGCCAGCGAAAGAACCACTCCTCTCAGGTCGGCACCGCACAGCGGCGGCAACTGCTCCCAACCCGCCGCGTCGCTAGGCAGAGGAAGCTCGTCCGCGCCGTGCAGCTGCCGTACCCTCTTCCATTTCTCCAGCTCGCTGTCCGCCAGTTCTGGAGGAGACGACAACTCAGTGGCATCCAGGGCCACCTGCACTCCACGGGTGCGCGTGCACCGTTGCGCAGCACGTCCTCCTTCTCTGAACGCCTCCTCTGTCCACTGAGTCCACTCATTCTGCCTCTTTCTGGCGAATACGTCCAAGGCCAGCTGCGCTTTGGCAATCGTCGCCGCCACGTTCCCCTCGAGTTGGGCGCCTGGCAAACTCAGAATGACAGCCCGACCACAGGCCTGCTCCACGAAGTCACCATAGCAAGTATTCCCGACCTACGGCCCATCGCTTCCGAGCCAAGAGCCGATCTGTGCTTGCGTGATCCTGTGAGGGGCAGAAGCAGGTTCCTCCACTGCATTGCGCATGACGTCGCAGTCAGCCCGCAGATAATCAGTGTTATCCAACTCGGGTCCGGCGGGATCGTGGGCCGCCTGCCCCATGCCCAACACCTCTGGCGCATCGCCCGAGGCAGCCTGCGCACCGCTCTGGGACGCCCAGCCCGATGTAGACGCAACAGAAGACATGCCATGGAGATCGCGAGCCCACCTCGGCTCCACCTCCTCTGCCCCTGGCGCCTCGCCTGGAGCAGCCTGTCTGGTTCTCTGGGGCGCCGTGCACGTGGCGGACGCCATGAGAGGACCACCAGGAGGATCGCGGGCCCACCCCAGCCCCATCCTCTCCGCCTCTGGCGGTGCGCCTGAGGCAGGCTGCGCACTGCTCTGGGATGCCAAACTCGCCGTTCCCGCCGTAGACAGACTCCCACCAGAACAGCCCATAGCCTTGAGCTCTTTCCGCAGGTCGTCCAGCAGCTTCGAGAATAGAGCCTCCACCCTCCGAGTGTGCCTCGCCCACCTCTCGGCGAGCTTCCATGCGCACTCGGTGCCGTCGGTGGCATTGGCCTTCACCCCGCTACGTTTCTGCCCAGCTACGTATTGGCTGCAACCCTTCTTGTACAAGTAGAGTAAGACACTGTCGCCAACAATAGCATGTCCTCCAGCCAACTCAACCTCCAACGTATTCAGCACTTCGAGCCAAGCATCTGCCAAGTCCTCCTGCGATTTCACTTTTTCGATCATACCTGCGACGGGCCCCCATGAGCATGGGAATCTGGCGCAGCCTGGCCTGACCACGGCAGGAAGATCCTTGGCCTCTCTTATCCTTTCTTATGTTGCGCAGCAGCAGAGGGTTCCCCTTGGCTTCAAGAATCATGCTGGCAGGCAGACGTGTTTTGGTCCCAGCTTCCTCTACAACAAGCCGCTTCCGAACTCTCCCAACCAACTTCTCATCAATCAAGAAATGATCAATGATCGATCCAGGTAGTGACTGGCGGCGCGTCGACTCCTTACTGGTGTCTGTCAGCGCTCCAGTCGATAACAGCCAGCCTTGTCCCGTCAGGTCAGCACTCGACATATTGAAATCTCCTCCAGCAACCCATGATCTCCCATTCGAAATTCTCACATTCACAGGATTGGCCGAGACACGGAGGACCTCAACATTCCTGGCAGAGAGGCCTTCGCTCACATGCATGTATGTATGCGGAGTATCTGAAAAAGCCTTGGGGGCTCCCCAATGCACCTGTGCCGCCAGGAGCCTGTGCGGGATGAGTATTCCCGCCTTCGAGCTGGGCGTGGCCGCGATCGTCGCCTTCTTGGGTACCAGCGCCGCCACACCAGCCGATGTATTGTCAGCAGCCGTGGCCTGTGCCTCTGCCAAATCCCATGCCAACCCAAATACATTGCACACTGTTCCAGAAGTCTGCCAACCTACCAGCCAGCAGCCAGTGTTCCTGCACGCATAGCACCATCGCGTGGCTGTGTGGGA